AGAGTCTCATCTAGGTAGATAATAAGCGAAATCCTATGTACTTAACCCCTCACTGTATGGCCTAAATACACTGAGAAAAGAGGACTGGGCAGGAATTCCAGTGAAAGCCCACAGTGGGCAACCGACAGAGATATTGTCCAATGTTTCTGTATCTAGTGAATGGACACTGATTCCATGAGGACCATTTGATGTGGGCTAAAGGCATAGATGCAACATAAACCGTTGGTTCATGTTCACTAAAGTCAATAATCAAGGGAGGACAGAATAAAGTGTTGCAAAGATCAACAATAGCTCCAGCCGTGGGGCAGCTGTGACCACCTCTAGGGAACGATTCTGGATCCTAGCCAGGATATTAATTTAGCCCTAACCTCCAATGCCTAGGAAAATGTGAATTAATGGACAACTGGGAGCCCATAAAACTTAAAGGCCTCCAGAGGGTGATTTTAGCCAGGTGTATTCCCCAAGATGTGTCTGTACAAGGGTCATGGTGGACATCAAGGGCAGAAGAGTTGGGACACAAAATATTTTTGTCAACAGAAAATTTTGTATTTCCTAAACTTCCTAGGTTCTGTCTAAAACACGAGAGTTTCCACATTTGCTTGGCTATTCAAATTTTCATTTTCAACTTTTCAGCCTTTATTTGTATCAAACATTGTGTAAAACCAATATATGAAAAAAGTCCACTCATATAAATTCCCTATCGAGAATAATGAGATACAATTTCTTTTGTACTGTACTGGCAATGACAAAAACAATTATCATAAATTGACCAAGCACAGTAACAAAGAGGTTCTGGTGATAGGTCTTCTCACGCAGTAATGGCAGCGTTGCACATTAGAACTTTATAGAAGGATGAGTGGTAACATGGTAGTATCAACAAAATGTAAAATGCACAGCTACTTTAACCCAGTAATTCTTCTTCAGGCATTTATTCCAAGGAGATAATTAGACAAGTGCTCCAAGATTTACATACAAAAAACGTTATTTATAGACTTTTAAATAATACCAAAAATTTATAAACAACCTAAATGTCCACAAAAATACTATTTAAATAGATAATTGTATAACTAGACAAATTCATGTTAGCCTACTTAAAAGGACAGTGTGACCTGTATGCCATAATGTGTAACTTTCTCCAGGTTGTTCAGTGAACAAAAGGCTTTCTGTCCATAAGCTTCTCTGTGTATGCAATTTCTGTGCAAGCATTGCACAGGGAGATGGCTAGAATGAATGTCACCAAATTGTTGGTGTATTGTGGCTCTTTCTGGGTGGTAAGATTTCAGGTGATTTTTTTCTTCCTTTTGTTGTTTATTTGTATTATTTGAATTTTTACAATGAACAAATAATATGTTTATAAGCAGAAAACCAACTGCTTTTAAAGATTAAAAGAAAACATCTAAAGGATACATAAACTTCCTGAAGAAAAGGCAGGGCTAACACCAGAATAATGACTGACTTTCAGAATGAAAATGTGGAGGGAGTTTGAAACCTGCTTGCTAGCCTTGCACAAAAATATTAATCTTTCCAGTCCTGAAGAAGGCAAGAAGGCCCAACGGTGAGAAGTCTATTCTTCAGGGTCAGTCTGCGGGTCCAAATGACAGCTCCATCACTTATCAGTGTGAACAACTTGGTACAAATATGTTCATCTTCTGTGCCTCAGTTTCCTCATTTATAAAATGGGGAACTGATCGCACCTGCCTCTAAGAGTGTCATAGGATTAAGGAAGAGAGTAAATGAAACATACCAATCACAATGCCTGGCACATAATCAACGCACTAGGCATTAGCTCTTATGAAAACCAGCCTCAGACAATCGTAGCCTGTGTGAGTTATCACTCCCAGAATGAAGTGCTAATAAACAGTTAAGAAGGCAAAAATAATTAGTCAAGGAACCCACAAAAGTACACATATAAATATCTAGGCTCTGCAGTACAAAGATGACGAGTATGAACTGTGTGTTTTCAAGCATGTGATCATCTCACAAACTTCAACTGCGTACTCTGCAAAATGGGGATAATATACAGAAGGTCATTTTGAGGATTAAATGCCAGGTGCTAACATAGCATTTAACAGTGAGTTTTTAATACATATTTGCTATTATTAATGAAAATAACTATTATGGACTAGGGAATTGGGTACTGAGCTCCCCATCATCACAGGCATCCAGGCAGGCTTAATTATTATTTGAGGAGGAAGATGCAAAAGGATTTAGTCATGGACTGAGGAAATGTCTACTGGATTCTCCCAGACCTAAAAGTCCTATACAAAGTCATTGAAACATAGGACCAATTTTAAAAGTTCCGTTGTTTGGAATTTTTGTGTAAAGCAACTTGGGATCAGTAGGTTCATCTCCTCAGAGAGGTAGGTGACAATGCCACTCTTAGAAGCCAACCCTGCTCTTCAAACAGGCAAGGCAAATGAGGAACAACCTGCTCATGAAACTCTGCTGTTCTGTCCCACGATGGCTCTACCTGCTCTGGAAAAGCTACAGATAGTGGTTCATCCACCACTGGGGCTCACAGAGCTCCATGAGCTTTGCTGAAAGTTATCGTCCCTCTCCCTAGATACAGCATATCCACACACATTCTGGCATTCACAGCAAGAAGCCCTGGCTGCAGGTGATTGCAATACTGATAACAGCAATGGTAGAAAACACACACCAATTGCCTAATGTGTGCCAGGCTCTGGGCTGAGAGTTTTGCATACATTGTCTCACTGACTTCACATCAGACTCATGAGTCCGTGTCTACACTATGTCATCCCCACTTTACAGACGAAAAACACACCAAGTCCTTCAGCCAGTAAGGGCAGGGTTTGAATCAGTTCTAAGGTACACTCAGAATGTTAGCAGTAGTTAGTAGAAAAGGTTGATGACAAGTTGACACTCATTAGCATTTTAGATGAATCCAAATATCTTCCAGGATGTGCCACACACTCTCCAGCACTGCTGGTTAGTTGGACCCTCTCAAGGCATCTAGGATCAGGAAAAGCCAAAGTTCCTATGAACATTATCTAGCAATTCTTGGGGAAAGCAGAAGTCTGATAGACAAAGTTTAGGCTGCACTCACAATGAGCACCCCAAATGGTGTGATGGAAAATGTTAGTAATAGTCTCCGTTTATGGAGCCAAGGTTTTTATCTGTATGATAAGGCTGGCTGGCAATATGGTTTGGCTGTGTCCCCACCCAAATCTCTAATTGTAGCTACCATAATTCCCACGTGTAGTAGGAGGGACCTGGTGGGAGGTAATTGAATCATGAGGGTGGGTCTTTCTCATGATAGTGAATAAGTCTCACAAGATATGATGGTTTTATAAAGGGGAGTTTCCCTGCACATGCCCTCTCTCTTGCCTGCCACCACCATGTAAGACATGACTTTGCTCCTCCTTTGCCTTCCACCATGATTGCGAGGCCTCCCCAGCCATGTGGAACTGGGAGTCCATTAAACCTCTTCTTCTTTATAAATTACCCAGTCTCGGGTATGTCTTTATTAGTAGCATGGGACCAGACCAATACAGCTGGGTTCTAAGACAGACTACTTTCTCAGAGCCAGCCAAATACTTGTGGGCTATTTTATTACTTTTATTTTCTTTTAAAATCCCTCGGTCAATCCGGACAGGCTTAGAACTCTCCTCATTTCAGTGCCATTGTAATCCCTCTGACGTGCAGCAAATCCTCTGGTTTGCTTTGCCATGGCAAGGCCAGGGGACAGTTCCTGCATCTCTCCAGATCTGCAAGGGTCTTTTACCCTTGTTCTTAGCAACTGTCAACATATCATGCAGATCCCAAAAGGGCAGAGTCATAACTTCATGATTAAGAATGTGGACTTTGGAATGACAGACATCTAGGTTCAAATTCTAGCCCCTCTACTGAGTACTTACCCTCTCTAAGCTTCAATTTCCCCATAAGTCTAAGGGGGATAATGGCACCTCATGGATTTTTGTAAGGATTAAATGAGATAATGCAATATTGGAAAGGGAGTAGGATATGTTTAGGCAAGTTACTTAACCTTTCTGGGCCTCAGTTTATTCAATGTAAATGGGGACAAAAATATTATCTACCCTTATAGAGTCATTTGTGATTAACGAATGAGTTATGGCTTGGAAAGTGCTTAGAACAGCATCTGTCACATTAGTTAGTACTGAGTAAATATAAGTTGTTTTAATTAATGCAAGTAAAGTCCTCAGCATGGTAAAAGTAGGTATTCAATAAATGGTGGCTATTATTATTATGAGGTAGCTGTTCCTCAGAGAAGTTCATGCACATTTATCTCCTGGAAAGCAATAAGAAATGAAGACATCAGGGGAGAATTTTGTTCTTAAATAAATGTTGCAGTCATAGCAGAACAAGTCCACAGATCCCGTTTCCCTAGCAGGATACTCTAGGACCTTCACTCCTCTTCATGCCCAGGCTCTCTTTTACCTCAGAAGGACCTGCCCTTCATCCAACCATCCACTTTTTCAACAAATTCTCCTTAAGCACCTATAGTGAGCCAGAAAGAGGGCTGGGAATGCTTAAGCAGTGAATGAGATGGTTCCAGTCTTTGCCCTCCTGGAGCCTACAGGGTAGTGGAGGAGATGCACACTAAATAAATACATACACAAATGCTTATTGAATAACAGCTACAATTTGTATCGTGAAAAATGTGACGAGGATGTACAATGGGTCTTGATGTGGTCTTGGCACTGGGTGTGTGAGTAAGGGGGAGTCATTGTAAAGGCTCCCTGAGAAATTGCTGGGACTCCCAACTGATGAATAGGAGTTGTCTGGGTGATGTGCGGAAGTGTAGAGAGAAAAGGGTCCAGGCAGACAGGCATTTTGTTCCAAGGCCCTGCACCCACAAAGTGCCTGGCTCACAAAGAGAACCGAGAGAAAGGTCACATGGTTAACTTACTCCTAGACCCTCCACTCAAAATACTCAGCTAGGAAATTAGAATTGGAAGAGAAATCCAGGTCCACAGAAACTGCGTTCTCAGTGGCAACTATTGTCTCTTTCCTTTCAGGTGCTCCTCGCCTGCTTGCAGATCTCAGACCCCAGCTGGTCTCAGACCTCAGGCCCTGAGGCCAAGCAAACATACATCATCCTGGAGGCTGCAGACATAGCTCACCGTTCCCACATGTGAACTTCAGCCAAGACACCACAACAGGGACTCTGCCCGCTGAATCCCCTATGATTCCTCAATCCTGTCCTGGTCATACCCCACTGGGTTTTGTGAGGCTATTTAGGAAGATAAGTTTCCCTTACTGAAGAAAAGAGAGACAACATGAAAGAAAACAATGGCCCCAAAGGAGGAATTTGTGATTGACATAAATGGGAGTGTTCCCTTGGGCTCATAATGTATCATCAAAGTAGCAAACCCCCAGGTCATTTATTTCTCCACCTATTTACCTGCTATGAAAAGAAGATGCGTTTAAGTTTCCTGCAGTTTCACACTGGACATTAATGCTCTGGGGGCGGGGGGAGAAAAAGCCGTATGTTCTAGATGTAGCAGGTTTCTTTTGGAATTCACTCACTGGGAGTCTGGCACTACCCCCTAAATGGTACTTTTGTTGTCTTTTTGTTCAAGACAACCAGCTTCTTCCAAGATCAGAACTGCATGCCAGCCTCCCTTGATAAACAGCCTACCAGCTCTCTTGGTAGATCAGATGTTTAATAGTTAGCCTAACTCATTTGTTTTTTCAAGGAGCAATTATACTACAATGAATTAATATTTTAACTGCAGGGAAAGCATTACAGCTAGTTCCTACGTAGACTCTAGAGGTTGGGATGGCCAACAGGATTTCCCATACTAAGAGGAGGGACAACTCCATCCTGGCCAGCAGTTCTCTATGTTTGAAATACCATCATTAGATGACTGCTCCAAAGACCTAAGGGGAGATGTGCCTAGGAGAAGTGTATGGTCCTGATCCTTCCCACGAGGCTCAATGGCCCAGCAAAATATGAAAGTGAGACTGTGCTTCTAAGCGTAACAGTCTAGAATCAGTGGAGTTTGTGAAACAGCCTCACCACCGCAGGAGCAAATCCCAGCAGGTGAGATTCAAGAAGATGGGACCACTAAGAATCCAGCTGGCCTAGCTGAGGTTGATGTCCGAACTCCAGAAGACCTGGCTGTGATGGGGAAAACTCAAGCAACCAGGCAACCATCATCCCCCCACCTACTCGCTCTCCTTCCCCAGGTCCCAGAAGGCAGGGGGGCTTTCGCAACGTTGCGATCCAAACTTCCCCCAGTCTCAGGAAGCATTTCCCAGTTTTCCAAAAGGAAGAAACTCACAGCCAGCAAGTCCCTGGTGGAAATGCCAACAGCATCCAAAGTGCCATCCAGGTCAAACGGCAACCTCTCTGAACAGGACATTGTGTCTTCTGACCTTGCCTACTTAAGGTTGGCTCAGCATCTTGAGGATGGGCCTCGAAGGGTCAAGGTGTCCCACACATTCCTCCCGAGGGTCCCCAAGGTGCAAAGCAATGGTCCTGTAGCATATGCTGGAAGCAGGAACTTGGAGGTCCTTAGAGAAAGCCACAGCTGCCATTCAGGTTCCAGATGATATTTATCACAGTCCTTCCTGGGAAGCTAGAGAGTCTGCTCTCAGCCCAGACAGGCCAGCTGAAGTAAGTAACTCCATAACCCTTTGGGTGACACATGTCCAGGTGATGGGAGAAGGATGACTCTACCAGATTCAGAAAAATCCACCCTCCTGCTTAAATGCCACCAGCGTTGCCAGCCACACACCAGGCACAGAGAAACTTAAACCTGAATTGCTTTTGCCCAAAGACAACTCGGATGACAAAGACTTTGGCCCCACTGTCATCTCAGTCAAAGGAAACGTGTTTCCTTCACCTCCACGGACTCACAGTTCCCCCTCATCAGGCTCCCACAGCAGCCAGCCTACCCAGGAAGAGCCTCAGACTGTCCTTCATCAAGTAACAATCACCAGAATCTGGGTTCACCTCAAAATTAACAGTGCATCGAAATCTGCCCCTGGGTGTCAGGGGCAGACGGCAAACAACCCCACTGAGTCAGACACCCTGGAGTTTCCAAATTGTCCAGGAAGTGATCACCTCCCATCCTCTCTTCCAAAGAGTGAGACCAAACTTCAGAGCAACAGGGAGAATAGTGACATTAATCAAATTCACCTGGCACGGGTGAACTCTGCGACCTCCAAGGCCGACTGCAATCGTGGAAGAATCTCTGCACTCGAACCAAGAGAAAATTAAAGTCCTTTTGAATGTAATTCAAGACTTGGAGAAAGCTCGAGCTCTCACTGAAGGGTAAGGAGATTTTTTTTCATATTAAAAATGACTGGGTGAAGTCATTCGCTAACACAGGGGCAGAGACAGCTTTGGTTTCTTTAGTAAAAATGTCTCCAAAATGTTTGAAGTACTGTTGTTTCTCCAAATCATAACCACAGACCTCCCTTTTCTCTAATGGAATTTCATTTAGTTCTAGGCTTGGTGGATTTTGTGGATTTCTACTGCTGTTTGTTTTCGTTTTCAGGTGTTAACAGAATGGGAAAAGGCAGCAATGAAGCAGTAGGATCAAAAATGATTTTTATGAAGATGAGGGTTCCGTTGATATATGATGGGGGAAAACGATAGCAGGAAGGCACTTCCCCATCCCCCTCCTCTTAGCAAGTTACTGCATTTGTACAGTATTTCCGTTCTTCGTGTCATTGTGACAAAGGACTTGAGGTGGCCACTCAGCTTACTATTGACCTTCCCCTGTACTGACTACTTTTATGCTTGGGCTGGTCCATCAATGACCAACTAATTGGAACTGAAATGAGATCACAGTTCATTTGCACAATTCATTTTCTGCCAAGAGAAAAAAGTCACAAAATGCTGTCCTGGATGACTCAGCACCAGTATAGGAGGAAAATGCAGTTATTTGTTTAGATGTGAAATGCTCGTCCTTCCAGAAAGTGCTCTCTAAAGACAGAGAAGAAGCAATGGTTAAAGCTCATCAAAAAGGGTAGGAGAGAAAGTCATTAACTGGCGTTTGCTGTATGAATCAAATCAGCACTGCCAATATAGGAGAGAAACACTGTGATATGCAGAGTGAAACGTACTGAACTAAGAGGTCAGGAGTTTTAATAACCTCCCTTCCCATTCACCTGCAGAATCTCTCATCTCACAGGATTGTTGTCAGCATGAAAAACTCTCAGCTTGGGAAGTCTTAAACATGTATGAAGCCTTCTAGAAATGTGAGCTCCTATTGCCATGACTTTCTTGTTTCCTTATTTGTAATGGCCATGCAACTTAAGAGCACCATGAATGCTGTGCTATAGGGACTAAGGGGACCAGTAGGTTGAATGTTGTGGCCCATGTGACTTTTGCCCATAGATTTATCCAGCAAATGCTCTGTCTTGCAGGCGCAACTTTTATCGAACTGGCCAAGATCTCAACAATTGCAGTACCTGCCAGAACACGGCGTGCATCATATACAGGTACCTGGCCACAAGCGAGGTCTGCTCTGTAGACTATAAAGCCATAGGGTTCACTGAACACTCTAGCAAACTTTTACATGCAGAAAGTCAAGAGAGGCAAAAACAGGAGGCCTCTGAATATCTGAGACCAAAAAAACCAAGGTATTTAACTATGAAATGTTAACATCTGGTTCCAAGGCAGGGATTGCTTTGTTTCCTTACAGCAAAGTCTATGAGCATACCCTTTTGATGTAATCATCCCTACACTCATCAAACACTAAGTGCAGGCATCATGGTAAGCTTGGCACACACATTTGCATCTCATTCCACCCTCAGGGAAGTTAAGGCATTCGGTCTCGCTCACATAGAGCATTTTCTGAGAGCAGAAAGGGCCAAACTCAGGACTCACATCCAGATTTTCAAATCTCAAACCTGTGATTTTAATTATTCCACCACACTGCCTCTTCCTCAACAGCAGCTATGCCATGCCAAGCACTTACTTGGCACAGTGGAGAACCATGATAAGAACTTTATGTTCATTTCTAAGTATGTCATTTCCTTCTAGCACAGAGTAAGTTTGCTGCAGTAGATTTTTGTAAGTGACAAAATGGAAACATGATATACAGTGTAAACTTAGAGTCAAAGATCTGTGTTTTAATCCCCAAGTCTGACATCAGCTAACTTAACCTGTTACTTTCCTTATCTGCATAGGACGATTATCCCTATTCAGAGTTGCCATGAAGACCAGATGAAATCATATATGTGAATGTCTTTTGCCAACTGCAAACCTCTGTACAAATCCAAGGGCTTATACCTGTTTTTACTGGAAAGATCAATGCCCCCTTAGCTGGAAGACCACTTTCCATGGCATAGTAGAAAAGTGGTCAAAAGCAGGACTTTCCCGTTGACGATATCTAATTTTGTTGACCAAAGTGAACAGTTTTGCTTTCTCTATTACATTTCTTTTTGGTTGAAAACTGGCAGCTCAGGGCCCGAGCAGGACTGGAGCCTAATTGGGTTGCCTATGTCTTCTTTTAAAACTTCTCATTCTCTCCGGCAGAATCCTGAGATTTCATTGAGTAAGAGACCTTGTGCCTGGAAGGCAGGAGGTGCTTGCACTTACTTACACAGGGCCTTGAGCATCTTTTCGTGAACCCATCAGCTCCTTATAAAGAGGAGCCACCTGTTTTAATCAAATACAGAAGATGCAGGACTGCTCACAGATAAATGCCTTTCACCTCAATGTGACGTCTTCCTTTAAAAAAGAGGGTCCTGGAAGAGCCCTGCAGCATTGGAAAGCCTAAGTAGAAGTTTCATCAATTGCTCTCTTTTTCCTGCTTCTTTTTTTATATCTCTCAATTTGAACAAATTTTCTAAATCATTAGGAGGACAAAAATTATTAATGTCTAGACAGTTAGAGAGGATAAAACTATTCATCATAAACAAGAAGAATCAATTTGAACTAACCTCCATTTAAATTTTGGATAGTTTCTCTTCTCTTCCGGAGCCAGATAATGTATTTTCTACTACCTTAAAATGATTTTTTATGTGGCCTATATGAGTAAAAAGGGCAAGATTTCCAAGTCTACTATGAGTTCATGACCTGGCCTTGGGGCAAATCATTTTCCCCATCTGAAAAATGAGGTCTTTAATTAAACGGTCCCAAGAGTCCCTTTAGTTCTGACATTCTGATATTCTAAGCCGAATTAAAAGTGACAATATTTGGCTAAACTATGACCTTCCAACGCGTCTGAGAATGTTTGCATTTTTCTAGCACTTACTTCAAACATCTCCAGCAAACATTCTAAATTAAGTTACACCCCTGGATGGGTTAGCAAACCTTCATGCACACCTTCCTTTCCAGAAGAAAAGCAATTGTATGTATATATCCCTCATTACCATTCAAAGCCAGACTGTTCTCCCCAGACAGAATCTATATCCTTGTATCTAAGCCATTGTAGGGAATGGGCAATTAATTTGATGAAAGCAAAGAGATCTGAACAACAGCCCCATCGTTGCAACAGTGGGAAGATGAGAGTTGTCATTTTTTTTTAGAAAACATTCAAATGACTTCAAACTTGCATTGTGTTCTGGAAAGTCAGATCTTAGAAACGAATGAATAAGTGATGTAAATACTCATCCCCAGGCCTTGTTAAGCCGCAATCTCTCTCCCAGGTGATGGATGTGCTCAGTGCATGTCACTGTACATAAAGCAGATGGGCGCATGATGGATTGCTCACTGGATCTTCTTCTCTGGAGATGTTGCTGCTAAGTTAGCCATGCATATGGTTTCCTAAGTGGTATTTCCCAGAGGCTCCAGCAGCTGGAGGCTATGGCTATGCTGCTTGCTCTTATCAAGACATGTGGGGTCATCTGGTTCTATCAAACTCATTCTCTCTGCTCCCTGAGCCTCCTTGACTCTCCTCTTACCATTGAACACTTGGATACACCCTATCTCACCAAGAGCACAGTCCCAACACCAGTGCCTAGAGATTCTATCCATGGCTCTCAAGAGCTTGCAGGGAATTATGTACATCAAGGTGAATGGAACCTTTTGTTTTGACTACCATAGTCTCCACAGGAAGTGAGTGGCAATTGGCTCTAAACCACAAGCTGATTCCAGCCTGTTTTGGGCCCCAATCACTTCCTTCACTCCTCCTTAGCATTAATCCTAGCACAAGTTACCCAAGGGTGAGTGAATGCCACCATAGTATCCAAGATTAAATAACATTAAATTACTTAGTACGAAAGTTGTTATCTTTTCAAATTTATTTCAATCCTTCCAATAACCCAGAGGGGAAAATCTGAGTTTGGTACTAGAACGTCTTTAAAACCTTCCTAATGCTGGCTTATCACATTTCCTCTGCAAAGAAAGAGCAGGTCTCAGGTTCACAGCCCTGAGCAAGCAATAGTTATCTAGCTAGAATACAATCATTTTTACTTTTTCTACTGAAGGCTTTAACTTTTAAAACTAGCCTTTTTAAATATTTCTGTAATTGATGCAGGTCTGCATTTCCAAAAGTGATATTGCCTGTTTGATATAAAACATGTTTTTAAATTCAAAAAGTGGATGGATTTAGAGAAAAAAAGTGAAGTGAATAATTGTGTAGATGGTATGGGGAATCTTGCAAAACCATGAAGGTAGAGAATGAGTGATTGAAGTTTGGGAAATGGTGCCCTAAAGAACTGGCTCCTTTTCACCTTCTCAAGGGCATGAGGTCTCTCTAAGTCGCTTGCTCCCTCCTTCCCTCACCCCCTTCTCTACTTTTCCAGCCATATCTCCAGCATTCATCTTTACACTCATGCTAAAAATAGTCAGCAGTGCTTCTTTAGAGGTCTTTGACTACAGAGATCATGCATTTCTTTTCCAGACATAACTCCCAGGAAAAAAACTGCTTGGTTTAAGTTGTAAAATGTCTCCAATATGTTTTAAAGGAAAATAATAAGAGGTCTTTCCCAGAAAACTTTTCATCTACCATCCAAGCATGCTGTTCTGGAATTGGAAAGACAGAGTTGCAAGCTTACCATTTTCAGTGGGTGAAGAGACAGATTGGCCATGTAGGATTTAAAAGGTGCTAGAGAGGTGAGAGAAATAGAAGAGGTATTGTTCATCCAGGGTCCACCTGGACAGGCTGCTTCTCTTCTTATCCTTAGTCTCTTCCCACCACTTCTTCAACTGCACTCATGGACTTTATTTCTGTGGTACTACTTTCTGCTACCTTTTATCTGATATCTATATCAATCTATCTTTATATCTAAAATTTTCAACCAACTACCTACAGACATTTCCACTTCATATCCCAAGGCAACTCAATTTGTCATATCCCCAAACACACCCATTTCACCACAAAATTAATTTTCTTCGCATATTTCTCATTTTGTTCAACACCATTGACCAAGAGGCAACTCCATAAAGATATCACAGTCCCCCTTGACTTTCTCTTCATACACCAAATAAGCTACTGATTCCAACTGCTCAATCCAACCCCTTCACTCCAATTCCTCTGCCACAGGGTTCAAAAAAGGCTGCTGTCATTTGTCACTTAAATGCAAATTGACTTTTTGACACAGGTCTCTCTTCCCTTATCTCAAGTAATCCTCCATGCAGATTGCTAACTTGCATCTGAAAAATAGAATCTGACCATGTCACTTCCCCTGCTAAACAATCTTGTCCTGGTTCAGGTAGTCTGTGGCTCCTCTCCAGCCATGGGGGAACTAGAGTGCTCAGCTGGTGGTTCTGTCATTCCTCAGTGCCTTTGCATAAGTTCCTTTGCCTTTCCTGGATGTCTTTGCTGCCCTGCTCGTGTGGATATTTCTTAGTCTTGCAGCTTAAATGTCAGTTATATGGACACCTCACAATCCAATCCTTCCCAGAAGGACCCCAATGCCATGAGCCCTTGTCTGCTAGTCACTGATCCTACTGCAGTGTAATAGAGTGTTTATAAGTTTCTTTCCTTCAGCAAATGGCTAGTCTCTCAAGTCAATGGATCATTGTTTCATACATACTTGTGCTAGTAGGTTGCTTATTAAGGAAAGAAATGACTCTATTAACTAGGAGAGGAAGGAAAAGCAGTAGTGGACTTGAGACAGCTACTTAGATTGTCCAGAATAAAGTCATTGTTAATATTAGTGTACACCACCACCCTTGGGTGGGGAATGAAGGATTAAACAAATATTCTCATAGGAATGAGGGCTTCTATGTAGCTGGTTCTCAATGGATCTTTTTAAGCTGAATGTAGCCCCATGGGGTTGCCAGTTTTAAAATACTCGAAGCCAATACTTCACAAAGAGAGACCTTTCTCTGATGACTCAGAGAGCTTGCCTGCACTTTCATATGAACATTGAAACCCTTGTTCTTCCAGGCCATATGACATTATTGCCCGGGACTTTTGTCCTGGCTGCGGTGGGAAAGCAAAGTTTGATTGTGGGAACCACAAAAACTCCAGGTGAAAATATCTCCTTTCTCTGGTGTCTGAACTGTCCCAGTGATCTCTTTGGCAGAAGGAGTCAGAACATCAGAT